GTCCGAAGATCATGGGATCAGGACTGCTGATTTGTGAGTTGCAGTAAAACTATGTCATATGAAAAGAACCAGACCCAAAGCCAGAGATAACAACTCTACAGAGCTGCTCTGAGGCCGTGAAGAGTCTGTTTTACAAGACGTGTCCGTGTTTGGTCAGTAAAGCCAGCGCGGAAGGTGAATGAAAGAACGTTACTTTAAAGGCATTAAAGAGCACACCAAAGGAAGCAGTGTTCAGTCCAGGCATTCCTACTGGGCAGAAGGACAGGACTGACGCAGGGCCAGTCAGCTGCCACAGCCATGGTTTCCCATCTATGGAGCCAGGACAAAGCTCTCAGGTGCCACTCTAGAGCTTCCTGCTGTAAACACCACAGCTTCCCTCCCTCCCCCGCCCCAGACTCCATTACATTCTTATTCTGAAAACCCTGGCCTGAAAAATACAAATCCCAGGTAATCCACAAAGTCAGATGCCATGAAGTCAATCAAGGACAGCATGGCCTACAAAGTAAGAAGCACTCCAGCATAGGTTACATCACAGAACCATCTCTGAGCAAAAGGTAAAGGTGCTTGCTGCCAAGGCTGCTGACCTGAGTTCAGTCCCAGAGTACACACTGTTAAAGGAGAAAGCTGACTCCGGCTGGATGTCCTCTGACCTCCACACACATATGCACAAATACACAAAATGTGATACAAATCAAAGCAAGCCCAAACACAGACTAATTCCAGTCCTTGATAGCCAAGCTTAGAAATCAAATCAAAGCATGTAAAAGGTGTTTTGAGACCTTGTGTATCAATTTGGAGGGATGTGCAGGAGCATATTTTAGAGATAATAGGTAAAATCGGGGGAAATGCTTTGGCTGGCTTGACTCATGGAGCCTTGTGTGGCCGCAGAGGCTCCTGTGAGGAGGAGGAGGAGTCCCTGAGCGCCCCACTCCTAGTGCCTGCAGTTCCCTCATGATTGTCTGTCTCCTCTAAAGCATGCTAGGTCTTTTAGAAGTGTGGGTGCCATGAGTGTGCTTGCCACCTGTCTCTAGAAGTAGACATCTTCAGCTTGCTCAAACACAACCGCTTGAACTGGGTAAACAGGACAGTAAATAAAAAAAATACTGTGTGTGAACAAAGTCCACCAGACAGATGTTTACAGCAGTTATACAGCTGGGTTAGAGCTCTCACTCTCTTGAGAAGGACCAGAACATAGGAGTCTGAAGAGATTTAATTTTTTTGAGTCATCCTCAAATACCCATCCAAGTTGCAGAGCTGATGACGGCCAAGTCCCCAGTGACAAGAGAAAGAGGGCTTCCGAAGGCAAGCTGATGGCCCTTAGACAGCAGTAAGGGAATAGAGGACGAAAGAAAGAGTAGAGGGAGGGAAGGAAGGATGGACAGATAGACGGACAGAAGGATGGAGGGAAGCGCAGGGTGCCTCCAGGAGAGAAAGCGACATCAAGCCAGAGCTCCCATTGAACGCTCTCTCTCCATCTCTTAACACATCTCCACACCACTTGCTAACTCTCTGGCTATGTTATGCTTGCTTTCAAAATTTCAGCCCAAATCTTTATTAAATAGTTTCAAGTTGAAAAGTACTTGACATAAAATAGAGAACAAATGGTAAGTGTCTCTAAGGTCATAATAAATAGAAACATTTATTAGGAGCATAAACAGGATTGGGGGAGGGGTCCTGTGATCATTCATCCCAAATGAACCCCTGTTCTCTACCATTGGAAGTCAGAGGGCCCAAGTGAAAACGTGCGTTTAAATGACATTTGGTCCTGCCTCTGATGACCGCTTACTTGGGCCATTGAAACTTGATTGGCTGTCAAGTTTCCCACGGAAGAAACTGAAGAAGACTCACTGCCATTCTATAGTGGTCAGCTGGCTCACTCTTGTCCGTATGTGCTTACAAACCCTAGATATGGAAGAGATAGGGAAATACTGTTCCCCTCCTTCTTCCTTAAGGAATTGAAAGAACGATGGAAGACAGATATATCACCACAGAAAGGCTATTTTCTCTGGAGAACCGTCCAAACATGGCTTCATGGAAAGGGCAGTGCCAGGCAGAACTTTACAACCGTGCGACAGGAAGTTCCAGTCACACACAAGGGCTTATGTAAACATGCAGGAGCATGTGTTGGGGGACCCTCTAGGCACCTACCTTCTAGGGTAGCTCTCAACGCACTTGTCTTTTTCTCTGCTCCACTTAGGGTTTCTTACCTCCAGGAGAAATGTAGAAACAGTTGAGTTGAGCTTCGTGTACCACCTTGCCCTTGAACTTCCTCTCGGTCTCCTCAGATGTCTGACTGGAGAGCAGCTGGTATGGGGGTGTGGATGGCTGAACAAAGGCCCGAATCATTGTGACTTCTAGTTGGGTACCAACAGCTGATTTCACAACTGAACAAGTATCCCACTTGTAACTTTTCCTTGTACTTTTTAAGAACTCAGAAATGGTTTCTGTGGCCACATTTGAAGGCCATAAAATCTCATATGACCCTATCACTCAGCTGTGAATTTGAGCTTTTGCTTTCAGATTTAGAATTCTGAAAGCACTCCTCTTTCCTTGATTCTTTTCTGCTGCATCGTTCTGACTTTGCCGCTGTGCTCAGACCTATGCAGAGACAAGCCCTTCCTTCCCCAGTGGAGCCCTTGGATGGAAATGTGAAGCAAATGGCTTCTGTCAGCCTGTCAGCTCATCACCTCCTGAAGGCCTGATGAGTTCTGGTCTTTGTATATCAGCACAGGCTGTCTGGCACAGCCTCTTGTGTGGAAGGGTGATAGGCCTGGTGGAGGTGGGGGCCTGGGCCCACGACAGGAGAACTTGAGCTGGAATGTGCACTTCCATGGATTCACAGTGCTGCTGAACTGCAAAACTATTTTAAGGAGAGAAAGCGCAGGCCCAGTCCTCTCTATCTTGGTGCTCCTTTTAGTAGCCAGGAATGGTGGTAAACGTGTGTTTTATCTCTCCCTCTCCCTGCCTATTTAAGTCTTATGTTCAAGCTAAATATTAACTAGATAAAAAAGAGCTGTTTCAGATGATCCCATGTGAATGTTAAAAACCATATTGCCTTATAGATAAATCTTCAAGAGCTTCTAAACAACAATGACAAACCTAGTGTTCCTTCATTCTGCTTTAACACTTGAGGGTTTTCTGTTGTGTTTTTGCCCTAAACCTGTGTCAGCATCTCCAAGTGATGAGGATGTTAAAGGTGTTTGTTTGTGCCAACAGCTCCTTGGCATCCTGTCCTTACAGAGCTCTAGTTCCTTATGTCAGAGGTCACACAGGAGGAAGAATGACACACAGAATGCTTGTTAGTATGGTTTTCTGGTAGGACACCCATTGCCACTTTCTCTGCCACCCGGCTTTAGTGTTTGGTTGCACTGTGGGCTCCTGACCTGCCATTTTGGAAAACTTAGCCTCCATAGAAGGTAAGTTTTCACTATGGTCGAATGGTCCAAAGCACCTTTTGTGACTAAGACCAAAAAAAAAAGAAAAGAAAAACAGTCAGATACACTTCGATTCCTCACAGGGCTGGAGCTGGTGATCCCGCCTGACCTTACAAAAGCAGAGGCCAGGAGTCTGTAGGGAAGCAAGTGGGAAAGAGCCTCAAATCTGAGTTCCCACAGACACGTTTAGTCTTGACACAAAGGCTCTGTTCTGATGTGCAGGAGCTCACAGCGCACTGGTTTGAAGACACTGACGTTCTCATTTTCCTTAGGTTTGTCAGAGTCGTTAGGGCGGATGTTTGTGTTTCTATCTGGGAGAGTAACCAGGTTGAGAAAGCTTGGGGCATCATCTCCCTTTGCCCTCTTCATGTGTAGGTGTCTGAGGCAATGGTCCTGAATTCAGGGGCTGGAGGGATGACTCAGGGGCTAACAGCATTTTAAAAAAAAAAAAAGATTCTGCATGCATTTGATCAGTACAAAATGAAGTTTAAAATCTCAATGATGACTTTTAGCAAGTTAGTAAAGTTTCTTTTTGATACTTGCTTAAAATAGCATTTAAAAGGCATGTCCTGTGCCTTCGGTCATTCTATTAGTCCTACCCTGGACATTGATGAGACTCGTGAGGAGAAAAAGATGCTGTGACCTGACAGAGCTGTCTTCGTGCAGAACAGCTCCCTGCTTTGAAGGACTAATTTTGTGTTTTCCTTTCAAATAATTTTGCTAATTTTCATTGTTCCGTCCTAATATTGCTGTTGTGTCCAGTGAAGTTCTGTTTCATGCTCACATAGTTCATGTGTTGTTTATATGATATTTACTAGATATTTACAGATGTATCCTGCAACTATTTTAACCTGCACTACAGAACTGATAGAGCCAGTTACACACTAAATTTAATAGACAGCTTATTTGAAAAATGGTTAAAATCAACCACAGTTACATTATTTCCATTCATTGCTAACTGGTTACACCATCCTCATACCTAACCTCCCAACATTTGTAAATTTTCTGTACAGACATTATAAAATGAAATTCATTATTAAAATTACATTTTTCTAGTTTCCTATCCTAATAACTCAATAGCCAACTTTTCAGTTAACATGTTCCTTGGAGGAGGAGAGGGAAGGGGGTTTCTAGGCATAGTGTGAGCATCAGGTTTCTGAATATTTAAAAATAAGGATGAAATGTGTTTGTGAAATGTGCAAATGGAATATAGAAACAATGAAGTCTCAAAGCCAAGAAGTTTAGAATCCTGATCTTGTCTTCCCATCTGTAGCCGCTTGTTTAAGGAGCATTCACGCACTGGCTGTTGGGCAGAGGCAGGGAAGCAGGCTTCTGTGTAGGCCCGCAGCAGCACTTCTGATCACATATGCTTTCCCTTTGGCACAGGGTCTCATGGAGCCCTGGCCAAAGTCACTCCAGTGACTACTTTCATCTATTTAATAATTAACTGAATGAATTCATTCTATGACTGATGAATCTATATTTTCCTTTAAGACGGAAAGGGAATTTCTTTCCATTGTGTGGCTTTAAGGTTGCTTACAGCTTGTTTGATGTGTTTTTCCCCAGTGGCCATTTATGGAATTTGGTTTTATGATAAGGAAGAGTGCCAGAGAATTGCGAAACTAATGAAAAAGTAAGTATTAAAAGGCTGAGCATGTCCTAGGAGCTGGCGCTGTGGCTTGTATTTCTAGACATAAGAATCAACACTAGCAGGAAGTGCTTCTCAGCTGTCATCCTCACCATGACCCCCCAGCCCCAGACACTGCTTAGCGTATGAAGAGAGTAAGAAACAGTTTGCCGTGCTTTCTGCAGGTTGGTCCTCAGCTCAGGTGGCTTGTTGCTCTCTCCACATGCTCGTCCACGTGGTGATTTTCTTTGGTATTTTCTTCATTTGTAAATAAGTGGTATTTTCTCTGGAAAGTTATGTGTCCATCAGTAAAATGAACATGCAGAGTCATCCTGAACTGCTAGAGCCTAGAGCCTTTGATACCCTCCACTTCCTTCCTGCCCTTTAACAGCTTTTCTTTTAAACTGTGCTTGTCACTCAGAATTCCCAGATACCGAAAACACCAAGTGCTTAGAATCCTCTTCAGTTCCTGTCTCTGAGAAAGTCAGAGTCAGAGTTCATGTTAGTTTAGCAATCAGTTCACAATCAATCCTCTCTCTCTCTCTCTCTCTCTCTCTCTCTCTCTCTCTCACACACACACACACACACACACACACACACACACACACACACTACTCCGCCCCTTATTAGTCTCTTTCTTACTTGCTGTTCTGAGGTGCTATCTGACTTTGACTTCCCTAATTGCATCAAAAGGAAGCTCAAGTGAGACTGATTGGTGGTCTCTGACCAGTTATGGTCCTGGCTGCTCAGTTTTCCTGCTGTTTATGTAAATAGTCAAAATAATCAGAATTAAGTGCGTTTCCTAATGAAGCTGGGTCTCTCTCTGTCTAGAATAGGTTGGACGTGATGCTCTGCCTGCAAAGAACCAGTATACGTTCCTAAATCCCCAGGCAGTGAAATGAAAAAGTGACCCCCACAGGGAAATGAAAACCAGGGAACACATTTTTATAAATAAAATTGACTCCTGAAACTCCTGCTTTTGAGAGCTAATTTTAGGCAACCAGCTCAAGTCCCAGATGGTGATTAAGTGTGTTCAAACTGGTATTTACCACCATAACAACTAGTTCCTTAAACATTTCATGTTGTTGTAAATTGTGCAAGGGACAATAATAACAGGATTTCATATGGATTAAAAAATACCCTGTAAATCAGCCAAGAGGTCACGGTAAACCTGGAGGCCTTCTGCACTGACTGCCTCACACCTCGGGCAGGAACCTGACTGTTGGTAACAAGGAGCAGTTGATTTGTGTGGGTTCAGATGCATTCTCTAGTGAGAATGAAATCTGTTGGTAACTTCACAGGTCTTACTTTACCATTAACTTTGTAGTTAACCTAAGAATCCGAGCTGAAAATCAAAGCACACAAAGAAAAGGCTTTAAAAAAAAATGTTTCCTTGTAACATTTAGGACCATGGGGTCAGAGTTAGGATGGGACCTTTATGGTATTTCTAAATTGCCAAAGAACTACAAGGTCCACATTGCTTCACCTCACAGCATTTCGGAAGGAAGGGACTCTCTGTACCGTGCTACTCATCCCTGTTGAATGTTCTGTTGAAGGCTTCCTCCACAGTCAGCAGCAGACGCTCTGTGGCTATAGTGTAAAAGCAGCCGTGACTGATGTGTCCAGCGGTGAGGAGGCCTCTGTCAGTTATTCTCTTTATAAACACGTGGGGCAGGCTAGAGTCCGAAGGTCACAGCTTCTTGACTCCTAAATGTGCCCTGGATATGCATATGTAGCCTGTTGACTCAGGACCTTTCCTCTCATTTTCTGTTTCAAATGCTTAAGCGGTCCTTCTAAGATGGTTCTAGAGGGATGAAAACCCTTGGGAGAGAGCCAGAGTAATAAATAGCATTGTTTTTGACTTTAGTTTCCTGAATCACAGCTTCCCGTTTTTCTAGCCTCACTCAGTGCGAGCAGTTGAAAGCCTGTCATGGAGCTGGATCCTCCACAGTGACCCTGAGTTCAGGAGAGGGCCGAGAAGTCGATATCCTGCAGATGCTCACCAAGGCCAAGGATGAGTACACCAAGGTGAGCCTCCTCTCCCTTATGATGATACCACGGTGACAAAGACTGCCACTGAGAAGGACAGCAGGTGAAGTAACATAGCAGGATGTAGATGGTTTGCCTGTTAAGTAAATTAGAGGGAGCCTAAGAAATCAGTAGCCTTCATACAAACTGTATTCCGTTAGAGGGCCTGCTAGATCTACAGTGCCATGTGCAAACCATATGTGTGTCTTCACTGGTAGGGTGGGCCTGTAATCCCAGCATTTGGGAAACTGAAACAGGAGGATGGCGAGTTTCACATTAGCCTGGACTACATAGTGAAACATTTCATAACACAAAGCATGAGCCCCAGCAACACAGCTTGGTAGGTAAGGACACCTGCCACCAAGTTTCACGACCTGAGTTGGGTCCTTGGGATCCACATGGTGGAAGGAGGGAACCAACTTCCACAAGGTGTCCTCTTCTGAGCTCCACACATGTGCTGTGATACTCCCTCCCAAGGAATAAATAGAAGGTAATTTAAAAAGTGTAAATTAAAACAAAAGGCATAAAAGTAGACTTGAATAGACAGAAGTATATGCTCTGTTCTAACATATATGTTAGCTAAGGATATATATTACATATTATATATATGATATATAATATACATTATATTTTATATATGTTATATTTATATATATATATGATTGAATGTAAAGATGTCAGCTATCCTTTAGTCTATAAATTTGGGGTGATTTTAAATAAATGCTGCTGTTTTATTCTGTTCGTGGAGCAGACAAGCTGATTATAAGGGAAAATAGACAAGAAAGAGTAGCAGGCTTGGGGCTGTAAACACAGCATTGTTACAGGAGATGGAGTAGGGGCCGTGAAGCAGGCTTTACTTGATGCTAAAGGTTGGTTATGAACATGTAGGGTCCTGTGCATTGTTGGTGTTCATACATAGTAGCCAGATGGACCAACAGTATAGGTGAAGCCAAGATTTTTTTGTTTGCTTGTTTTGTTTGTTTTTTGAGACAGGGTTTCTCCGTGTAGCCCTGGCTGTCCTGGAACTCACTCTGTAGACCAGGCTAGCCTCAAACTCTCGAACTCTCGAACTCTCGAACTCAGAAATCCGCCTGCCTCTGCCTCCCAAGTGCTGGGATTAAAAGCGTGCACCACTACCACCCGGCTGAAGCCAAGATTTATAGATCAAGTTTATGGTATAATAAAGAACTGTTTCAGCTCAGTTATACAAATAGATTCTTAATTAAAGAGTGTTGAGTCAACTGGTACCCATTTGGAAAAGTACAGAATTCAAACTGTACCTCAAACTAAATCTCAGGATAAATGTCAAATATGTTAGAAAATGCAGGTTCCAGAAGAAAATGTACTTGGATCTCTTTGCAATCTAGGAAAAGAGAAATCTTCCTAGCTGTGTCTTAAAACTCAAAAACCAATTAATTTTAGCTATATAAAAAAATTAACATTTTGCAAATTAAAAAAACACAAAATTAAATTTTGTAACAAATGAGAAGAAATATTCACACCTAAAAACTAGGAATGGGTTAAGATCCCTAAAAATTGAAATAAAAAAGATTAACACTCTAGAAAAATGATCAAAATAAAATAAAAGTAAGAAAAAATAATCTTAGATTGGGAAACTGGGTAAGAAATAAGAAAATGTACCTGAATATTACATTTTGACACAATTAAAAAAATCATGCCTTCAAGTCACATTGTTTGAACAGTCAGTAGATTATACTGTAAAGATGAAAAGATCAACAAATTAGGAACTTAATTCAGTGGTCTTGTCATTAGTAGGAATATTGGCTTTATAATTTTTCAGTTGTTACAAATACAATAAATGAAAAAAATTACATTAGTATTCCTGGAGCCAAACCTTGGCATTAGAGAAGAAAATCAAACTAAGTTAAAGCTGCATCCTAAGTATTAAGTGGAGTTTGCAAAATTAGTTCATGTTTTGTTAAATAAAAACTACAGAGTCCTGATTCCCTGAAAAGGCTCAGAAATGATGACACCCAGCAGCAGTAAGCATCTCTGTTGCCCTGGGTTATTTCTTCCTAAGGTGTCAGCGCTCTTTGAAGAAGTTCCTGGTTGCTGGACCAATGGGATCCTATGTAGTGGGCACTGCAGCCAGCTTACAAGAGCACCACTAGAACCCAGCAGCAGTGTAGACAGAGTGCTGGAGTGGAATTTTGTTTAGTAATCCATGATACCATGGTGATGGTGAGAGAGACAGCGTGGACCAGTGCTACCAAAAATAAACTATTGCTGTCTTGTTTTGAAAGTACTCAAACACCAAACCTGCCTCTGACACTGATATTTAATTGATTGTGCACACAAGTACACACAGTCAGAAACAAGCCACAGTTCATATGTGAAGGTCAGAGGACAGCTTTCAGAAGTCAAGTCCCTCTGTCCTGTGGGTTGTGGGTTCTGGGAACAAGCTAAGGTCATTGATGACCCCAGGAATTAGACTCAGGCGGCCGGTAGCCAGGCCCCTTTCTCCCACTAGTTGTCGAATATGTGTCACCTGATAACACTCCCTCTGTACACTGTGCTTGGTAGTGAACTCTTGGGGTCTTCAGACTTTCCATACCATGGTCTTGGGAGTATTCTCTAAGCATTGAAACTAGCGTTGCTTCCTGAATGCGTCTTCCTGCCTTTCCTCCCCTTCTGCAGCTCCAAACGAGGTGAGCCTTTTAAGGTCCATCTCCTACCGTCCCATCACAGGAGCCACACCCAGCCTCCCCAGCTGGATGCTTGCAAGGGCTCTCCTTTTAGCATAAGCCCTGTGCTGTCTGTGCTGTCACCTCTCATGTACCATGTATGCATATTAGATGCACGAAGACAGTGTGCAGACCAAAGAGGTCTGGTATGAAAAAGTGGGAAATGGAAACAGTAATAAAAAAAAAAAATCACAGGATTTTTTTTTCCTCAGAATTCTTGTGAAGTGCATCTCCATTTTTGGACATGTTTAAGGAGACATAGTGGAGATGTTGTAAAAGAATCCATGTCTCTTGATAAGAATTAAACAAAGACTTCTGAGATCCTTTTTGACTCTGGAATTTGGTGGGGAGTTCAGTTTCATTTTTAGATTATGTTTTTAATCTCAATTAAAAAGTAAAATTTGTATAAATAAAGTCATACAGCATGAGAGTATGATACATACACATTGCGGAGTGGCTAAATCAAGTGAGTGAGCACATACTTACCTTATGTGCTTAGCATGACCTTATGTTATTACTGCCTTACGTGCTTAGCATGACCTTACGTTATTATTATT